ATTTTCTCGTTCTTGTCCAAAACGGAAAACAGAAAAGGAAGTACAGATGACAAAAGTCACTAGTAGCATCTGCTACAAGAAGCCAGAAGGGTGGTTCAAAGCACACAGCTACAACCAAAAAGATGATATGCTAGTGCCATTAAAGCTAGTGCCAGACTCCTCCAAATAAAACCCAGCACCCTGCAAGCTAGAAAAAGGAAACTCCGACTCATGTAGTACCAAAAAAAAAAAAAAAAGAAATAGCAATCCAGAGCAAACCCAAAAATAGTAACAAAAAATAGAAGCAATAGTAATAGTTTATTTGAAGATATGGTATCTGAATCTTATGGAAGTAGAAGAGGGGCTAGATCTTCCTGAGCATCTACTTCGACGAAAAACAAGAAAGCAGCACAGAAAAAACAAACATAAATTATAATGGCTACCCTGATCTCATGGAACTGTCGCGGACTCCACCAAAAGTTTCTTGACATCAAAAGTATAGTCTATGTTCATCACTCCGTGTGATTGGCAGTAGAGGAAACAAATCTGAAACCAGATCAACAAGCAAAACTTCGGAGGTTTTCTTTCGTCAGGAACGATTACCTTGCAGGCGAACGTGCCTGTGGAGGTGTAGGTCATCTCACCTCACTCGACTATCCCTCAAGTTCCCTTTGACGACCTCCCTTCAACTTGTCGCCATACAAGTAAATTTTCATATTGTAGTTTCAGTCGTTCTCTTTATTTGCCTCCTAATGAGCACATTGATTAGGAACATTTAAATTATCTTATAGAGCAGCTTCCTGAGCCTTTTATAATAATAGGAGATTTTAACGGCCATAATCCGCTCTGGGGTAGTAAAGATACAAATTGCCGAGGAAGTCGAACTGAGCGAATGATTGAAGATCATAGTCTTTGTCTCCTGAATAATGGGCAGGAAACTTACTTCAATGAGCCTTCAAGGACATTCCACGCTCTCGACCTTGCCATCTGTTCACCATCTCTGTTGCCATTTTGCACCTTTTGTGTCGGAAATGAGCTTTACAACTGCGATCATTATCCCATTTTTGTGTCTCTTGCACGAAGAGGAGCAAACCCCATGTTGAGACTCCCTCGCTTTATACTGAACAGGGCAGACTGGGAAGTCTTCTCTTCCTTCAACAGAGCTCACAGAGAAAATGGTAGAAGATGTGCATATCGATGATGCTGTTAAAGTTGTTACTACTAATATTATTCAGGCAGCTATGCTTTCCATTCCTAGAACATCACGAAAAATACTAAAATATTCAAAACCATGGTTGAATCGTGACTGTCATGAAGTACTGAAAAAAACAGAAAAAAGCATGGGGTATTTTTCGTAGATATCCTACTCTGCGAAACCTCATGGCATTTAAAAGAGCGAAAGCAAATGCACGATAAGTAAAGAGGCAGAGCCAAAGGAATTCTTGGATTTCATATCTGTCGTCAAAAACATCCTCCACGCCTAGTAAGCGTGTTTGGGAAAGAGTTCGAAAAGCATGCAGCATATATAAAGACCACTCACTTTCCTTTTTGGAAAAAGATGGCCGAGTCATTAGCTCCATAGAACAGGGTTGCCACGCTACCTGGAAAACCGGGAGAACCGGGAAAAGTCAGGGAATTCGAAAATTGACCAAAATATTCAGGGAAAAGTCAGGGAAGGTCATACAACGATCCCGCCAAAAAAAGCGATTTTTGCGCCGACGTCGGAAGAGGTAACTTTTTTGGCGAATTATGTATCATGTGAGTGTCATTCGGGTAGCTGGCATAGAGCCAATTTTCGCAGCTCCAATTTGATTGTCTTTTAGAAAGGCAAAGCAACATTCCCGCAACTTTTGGTTTCCAATATTCTCGAGAATCACATGTGCAGTGCATGAACTAAAGAAAGTACCTGTTCTCGTATAAAACAAAATGGGTTTAATCCTAGTATACGGTACCATGGAGGTTAGAATCAAAGAATATGTATTGTAAAGAAGGAAAACCTCTCTGCAGCAGACGTGGCTGTGGCTCCGTTCCATCATAGAGGGAAAACAGCTGTGCATGTCTGATATATCTGTCGCCAAAGCTCGAAACCGGTGTCGAAGTTCGAAGGTCACGTTATCAAGAGGTCATAAAATGAATATCGTTTAAAATTTCTTTAACCACTTGCGCTAAAAAGACGTGCCACGCACGTCAAGATGCTTTTGTCTCAAACCGCGAGCGACGTGAACACCACGTCGATAGTAGCATTTATCGCAAAAATGAAAATAACGTGGTGCAAACGTCGCCTAACCACGAGATTGTTTATTTCTCGAGTTACAGCTCTGGATTTGCACTCGCAGATGCGGAGCGGCGTAAATGAGACACTTTATCAACGTTGTTATATTGTAGCTCACGGCACCGCATCACAACTGTGAAGTTTAGTTCTTAGCGCAAGTGGTTAAACTCTAAGGAAAAGAAAATATTTTTTGGCGCAAGTAAATTAATTCATGGATTAGTTATTTTCAGGGGGAAAAAAAAAACTACGAAAATCCGTTTTTAAAACTATTGCGAAAAATCCAAGAAGAAACGTCCTTTGATAAAACGTTTCTTCTTGGATTTTTCGCAATAATTTAAAAATGGATTTTCGTAGTTTTCTTTTTGTTAAAGAGCGTTTCTTCTTAACACGTGTTTCTCAATTTCCTGTACACATCGCGGAGAGGGAAATTCTGGCCGCCAGGTTCCGTCGCCAAATCCCTTGGCAAATTTTCCCTACGCGTTCTAGCGGCGTAATCAACATTTTACTTGTATCGAACCTTTTCTTCTTTACATAGACTTTCTTTGGCGACATCTTGATGCGCAGTAAACGGGTCATTTTGGTCTTGGCGATAATTTTCAAAATCGGGCCAAAGCCTTACCGTATACTAGAATTTTACCGCAAAATCTTTTTAAACCCTTTTTTTTTCTTTTTAATAAATACCTTGCCATTTTGCAGTAAAATTAAAAAATAGTAATCAGTCATCTAGGCTAGCCATGTAATATAACTATATTCGCTAAAATATCGTTGATTATTCTAATTCAATTTTTAAGTAATTAGTTTTATGTTATTCATATAATTTAATGTTGCTTCTTCCCTCTAAATTTATTTATTATTAGTAAATAATATTTCCAAATTTCAGGAAATTTTCTCTGGCATAATACTGAAATTAATTATAGCAGTATGATGACATACCATCACGAAATTTAATGCACATATTTTTCCTTATGTATGCTGCGAAATAAATATAAAATACCTCAATTTATTAAAATAGATTTCTTTCTTTCGTTTAGCTGCAGAATGTCTGCAAAAAAAGCCTTATTTTATTCCACATTGGGAAGATTCTAATCTCGATCTTCAGTGGAGAAAACAACAACTATTATAATTATATTTGTGTTTTCAAGTGTTAAGGTGCCTTTTAAGAACATACATACCTCACGCAAATTAAATTTACCTAAAATCTAACCTAACTATTTAGCATTGCGTTGTGATTTATAAGGACCGGATTAGCCTCATGTTGAACTAGTGATGATCATGAGTAATAATTAAATAAAACATACATTTGTTATCCAATATATATATCTTAAATTTTATTAAGTTTCTTAAGTGGAAAACTAAACAAAATTATCAACAAAGTATACCAAGAATAATTAAGAATAAATGTCCTCTGGGACTTATTGAATAATTAAGTGAATTTGCTACACAATACAAGTAATACCATAATTAATTTACCTCTTAGCACAGCCAATGTACATTACGCGGATAGACAGGAATTTTCTTGAAACACACCTGGAAAACCTGGAAAAGTCAGGGAATTTCATTCTCCTGTTTGAGTGGCAACCCTGATAGAAGAAATTGCGAATACTATTGGTGAGACATTTGCTGCCGTTTCTTCCAGCAGAAACTATTCACCTGCATTTCTCTCTATGAAGCAGCACTCTGAAATAAATCCCATTGAATTCAACTCTTCCAAATCTAAGCCTTACAATAGAGCATTTACTATGCTGGAATTAAAGAGAGCTTTGTTGCAGACACATAGGTCTTCTCCGGGTCTGGTTGGCGTGTATTATGAAATGCTAAAGCATCTGTCCTATAAGTCACTGACTGCCCTTCTCACACTTCACAATAGAGTGTGGAAGGAGCGTACATTTCCAAGTGCATGGAGGAGAGCTGTTGTCATTCCTATTGCGACCCGAGGAATCCCTCGAACTATCGGCCAATTGCCCTTACCAGTTGTGTTTGCAAACTGTTTGAAAAGATGGTAAACAGTCGCCTAGTCTACCTCTTGGAAAAGAATAATATTATATCGCCTTATCAGAGCGGTTTTCGAAAGTTGAGAACGACCGTAGACAATATGCTTCTGTCAGAGACATCTATTCGAAAAGCCTTTGTCAGAAGAAGTCACCTTGTCTCAATATTCTTCGACATTGAGAAAGCTTATGATAAGGCATGTTATTCAGTAATGTTAGTCATTTTTAATAGAGTGTGCGTATTTTAAAAATCTTCGTTTGAAACTTTTTAAGAAAGGTGACTGGCCTCTTGATCATATAATTGGGAAAGAGGTCAACTCAAATTTATTACTTTACCTGAAAGAGACAGGTATTTATTATTTAATTTAATTTGAGTTTTAACTCCTGTCCTATCGTTTTTTAATAGTATGCATTTTAATATATCCTTTGTTTGGTGACTTTAGTGTTTGTTTTGTACCTGTGATAATTATATGAGATGTGTGTATGTGTTTATTTTAAGCATTGTATCAATGCATATAATTTTCATCATTGTATTTTATGCTTGTGTGATTTTATCTTATGCTAGTGTGATTCTATCTTATCTGTTTGTTTTTATATCTCTTTGTATTTAAGAATATTTGACATATGTTTCGGCACATATAATCATTAAGTTTTTGCACCAGGAAACCTACTACTACACTACATTTTAAAATACATAAACACTTTTTTAATACATTTTATTTTGCAGAACAATCTCTTCCTAATGAGACATTTTTGTCTACTCAAGACACCAGATTATGTGGAACCTCACGCTTTGAAGGAGGCATTATACAAGAAATATGATGCCTCAGAGCAAAATCAACTTTTTTCAATCCTGGAGGCTTCTCAGCTTCTTTCTTTCGCTTTCCAGTAAAAAGAGTTATTCTGCGTCCAATTGCAGATGGCTGAACAGGAATTTGAATACCTTTCCTTTTAAGATTTAAAACAAATTTGGGGCCTGAATGTTTGGCAAAATTGTGCATTGCGGCAACTAAACCTGTTTCTGTTTTTGCATACTTTTTATAATTTGCAGCCTTTTTTTCAATTGCATGTTTAAATATTTCTGGGTTTTTTTTCCTCTGCCTTCTTTAATTTTAATAAATATATCTTAATTATTAAAAATTCTTCATCATCAGACTGGTTCTTTGAAGTAGATGGTGCACTAAAGTTAAGCATACCTAGAGTTGATGACGTACCTGCATCAATAGAGAAGTGAGAGTTTTTCGACTCTAAAGAATTTGGATTATAAGTTGACGGCTTCAGGAAGCTTTCAAATGGAAGTGGATTTCCTGTAGCAATTTCGTACATCAGTGATTGGCTAATTTCTGATTATACAAAATCATTGCTGATATTGCTTTGTGTCGCTACTGCAGCTATATGCTTACAATACTGCCCAGTAGCTCCAATATAGGATGTACAATATGAAGAGTGTGCATCAATAAAATATGTTTGTTCACTTCTTTTCACCAAAAAATGCTGCTCTTTTTGAATAAAATGATAATTTTTATACATACCTCCACCTTCACTTTTAACCTTTTTACTTAACACAATAATTTCTGCACATAACTGAACTGGTGTGGCAATACCTCAGTGTACATTTTGACTATGGCTCCCCAGTGATTGTCAGTTCATGCATCCCATTTCCTTTCAGGAATCCCCATCTCCGCACTCTCAGGGCTCTGATACTTTGTGGCAGTCCCTAGGTGTCGCCTAGGCCCCTTCAGGGTATCATCTTCTTGGTGAGACGGGTGTCACGATCCTGGAGCCCCAGTGATCTATCCTCTTTTCCATCTCCTCTCCTCTTGGCTGGAACTTTTTCCCTTCCCTTCTCCCTTGTGGTTTCTCTCTACGGAGTTTACGGCTCGTCACGACAGACTGGAACAGACTTTGTCTCTAGTTTTCGAATGGCGAGAAAACTGCCCACGTGTTTGCCGTACGTGGAGACCCGTGTCGCTGGAAAGGAGGGTCCTGGTAGTTGAGGGGCGAGGTACTGTCCCCAACACACTGCTTTGGCCTCTGCTTCAGCTAAACGGGAGGCACCTTAGTTGTCCTCACGGGTGTCAATCGGTGGTCTCTAGTCCTTGTGTCAGTGGCTTGGGGTCAAGCTCTCGGGAGTACCTGCTTTCGGGAAAGCCGACTGTGGGGCTTCAGTTTGCGTATAGGTCCGGCTAGCCCTAACACAGGAATCTGTGTTCCCGTGTTGGGCTCCGTGGTGGGCAGGGGCGTCGGACCCGAATCTTCAAAAAATATTCCTAATTAAAGACTTTGAAGTCAGTCCCGTCGTTCTAAGCGCTAGTTCCGAAAAATCAGCAAAAAAAAGTATGTACAGATGCAACTGCTAATAATCCTAAGAATAGTCCCCATTTCCTTGTTGTCTCTAGTCCTTCTGGCGAGCTTCAAAAGATGTCTCCTTTTGTTATAAATAAATATATCCATTCTTGCATTGGTGAGCCCAAAAATATTAAGCATCTCCGCTCTATAGACTTCCTGATTGATACAACTTCGGCCACCCAGTCTGCTTCCTTGCTTCAAATAACCAAACTTGGTAATGCAACGGTCACTGTAACAGGGCATAAGACATTGAATTATTCTCGCGGCGTAATCTCGGAAGTCGACCTTTTGTCTGTTCCTGAAGAAGAGTTCGTTTCCGAGTTAGCTGATCAAAAGGTCTGTGCTGTAAAGCGGATTAAGATGCGTAAGGAAGGTCAGTGGATCGACTCGAAACACGTCATCCTGACCTTCAAGTCGCCTGATCTGCCGAAGAATATCAAGGCTGGATATCTTAATTGCCCTGTGAGACCGTATATTCCAAATCCTATGCGATGCTTCCAGTGCCAGCATTTCGGCCATTCCAAGATGTCCTGTCGTGGGACCCTGACGTGCACTTGATGCTCGTCGGTTGGCCATGACAGTGATAATTGCACCGCTGCAGCACTGTGTATTAATTGCAATGGTGACCATCCAGCATTTTCGCGATCATGCCCAAAATGGAAAATAGAAAAGGAAGTGAAGACGTTAAAAGTCACTAGGAACATCTCATATGCGGAAGCCAGAAAACTAGTGCAAAGCACACAACCTCAATCAAACAAGTCATATGCTAGCGCCGTTAAATCAACACGTTCCATTGCCACACAAACTCAATAAGTACACAGACAGCACAGAATAGAACCCATAAACCTGCAAGCAAAAAAAAAGGAAAAACCAACACACGTAGTACAAAATAAAGAAGTAGTTAAGAACATAAAGCGTCTCCGTTCTGGAGACCTGCTTATAGATACAGTCTTGCCAACCCAATCTGCTTCCCTTTTGTCACAAACAAAACTTGGAAATGTAGCTATAACTGTGTCAGCGCATAAAACTCTGAATTATTGTAGAGGTGTAATCTCGGAAATCGACCTTCTCTGTGTATCAGAAGAAGAGTTCGTTTCCGAGTTAGCTGACCAAAATGTCTGTGGCGCTAGGCGGATCAAGATGCGTAAGGAAGGTCAGTTGATTGACACCAAACACGTGATCCGGACCTTCAAATCGCCTGATCTGCCTAAGAATATTAAGGCTGGATACCTCAATTGTCCAGTACGTCCATACATTCCAAACCCGATGCGATGTTTCCAGTGCCAGCGTTTTGGCCATTCGAAGATCTCCTGTCGTGGGACCCTAACGTGCGCTCGATGCTCGTCGGTTGGCCACGATAGCGAAAGGTGCACCGCTGCAGCACTGTGTATAAATTTCAAGGGCAACCATCCAGCATTCTCTCGTTCCTGTCCGAAATGGAAATTAGAAAAGGAAGTGCAGACCATAAAAGTTTCCAGGAACATTTCGTATGCCGAAGCCAGAAGACAAGTTCAAAGCACACAGCCTATATCAAACAAATCATATGCCAATGCCGTGAAATCAACCCGCACAATAGCCACCCAAACTTCCATAAGTACACAGACTCCACCAAATAGAAACCAGCAGCCTGCAAGCAAGAACAAAGAAAAGGAGGATAACCTTGCAGGTGAGCGTGTCAGTAGAGGTGTAGGCCTCCTCACCTCACTGGATTATCCCTCAAATGTGCTTTCTTTGAACACATCCCTCCAAGTTGTCGCTATTCAAACAAATTTTGATATTGTTGTTACAGTCGTTTCTCTGTATTTGCCTCCAAATCAGCATATTGATCAGCAAGATTTAAATGGTCTTTTAGAGCAGCTGCCTGAGCCTTTCATCATAATAGGGATTTTTAACGGCCATAGTCCACTCTGGGGTAGTAAGAGATACAAATTGCCGAGGAAGACAAATTGAGCATGATCGAAGATCGAGCCTTTTGTCCTAAATAATGGGCAGGATACGTACGTTCCATTTCAAGGACATTCCACCAGGAGACATTCCCACGCTCTCGACCTTGCCATCTGTTCACCATCTCTGTTGCCATTTTGCACTTTTAGTGTCGGAAATGACCTGAACAACAGCGATCATTATCCCATTTTTGTATCTCTTGCACGAAGAGCAAACCCCATGTCGAGATTTCCTCGGTTTATACTGGACAGGGCAGACTGGGAACTCTTCTCTTCGTCCGCAGAGCTCACAGAGGAAATGGTAGAAGATGTGCTTATCGATGACGCTGTGGAAGCTGTTACTAATACTATTATTCAGGCAGCTATGCTTTCGATTCTTAGAACATCAGGAAAAATACTAAAATATTCGAAACCGTGGTGGAATCGCGACTGTCATGAAGCACTGAAAAGACAGAAAAAAGCATGGGGTAGTTTTCGTAGATATCCTACTAGCTCGTAGCCTTTAAAAGAGCCAAAGCAAATGCACGAAAAGTAAGGAGGCAGAACCAGAGGGATTCCTGGATTTCATATGTGTCGTCAATAACATCCTCCACGCCTAGTAAACGAGTTTGGGAAAGAGTTCGTAAAGCATGCAGCATATATAAAGACCACTCACTTTCCTTTTTGGAAAAAGATGGCCGAGTGATTAGCTCCATAGAAGAAATTGCTAATACTATAGGTGAGACATTTGCTGCCGTTTCTTCCAGCCAAAAGTCTGAGAAAAATCCCATCGCTTTCAACTCTTCCAAATTTGAGCCTTATAATAGAGATTTTATTGTGCTAGAGTTAAAGAGAGCTTTGTTACATACACATAGGTCGTCTTCGGGTCTCGATGGTGTGAATTACGATATGCTAAAGCATCTGTCCTATAAGTCACTGAATGCCCTTCTCACGCTTTACAATAGAGTGTGGAAGGAGCATACTTTTCCCAGTGCATGGAAGAGAGCTGTTGTAATTCCTATTGCCAAGCCAGGGAAAGATCCAAGGAATCCCTCCAACTATCGGCCAATTGGCCTTACGAGTTGCCTCGCAAACTGTTTGAAAAAATGGTAAACAGCCGCCTAGTCTACTTCTTGGAAAAGAATAATATTATATCGCCTTATCAAAGTGGTTTTCGAAAGGGGAGGACTACCATAGATAATATGCTCCTCTTAGAGACATCCATTCGAAAAGCTTTTGTAAGAAGAAATCACCTTGTCTCAATTTTCTTTGACATTGAAAAAGCTTATGATAAGGCATGGAGATGCCTTATCATAAGCTTTTTCAATGTCAAAGAAAATTGAGACAAGGTGATTTTTTCGGATGTTTTTCAACAGGAAGAGGGTGTGCCTCAAGGCTGTGTGCTCAGTGTAACCCTCTTTACTTTAAAAATAAATTCTGTACTAAAAGAACTTCCTCCCACCATCTTGGGATCACTATATGTAGATGACATACAGATTAGCTGTCGAGGAGCAGACATGAGATACATAGAGAGGCAATTGCAGCTGGCTCTGAATAAGATCCAAGAATGGTCAGACAAACAGGGATTTACTTTTTCGAAACAGAAAACTGTGCGCGTGCACTTTTGTAGGAAGCGAGGTTTCCATCCTGAACCTGAGTTATATTTAAATGGTACAATTATTCCAGTTGCGCCCGAAGTAAAATTTTTAGGAGTGACGTTCGACCGAAAATTGACCTTCCTTTCTCATGTTTTAAACCTGAGAAAGAAGTGTCTAAAAACACTAAATATTTTAAAAGTGTTGGCGAACACCTCCTGGGGTGCAGAGCGTTGCTCTATGCTTCGCATTTACAGAGCGCTTATCCGCTCTAGACTGGACTATGGCTCAGTTGTTTATGGATCCGCTCGGTCATCTGTTTTGTTAAAACTGGATCCTGTTCACCATCAAGGTCTGCAGATTTGTTCAGGAGCATTCAGGACTTCTCCTGTACAGAGCCTATATGTTGACTCTAACGAACCATCACTTTATCTGAGGCGCGATCAATTGTCCCTTTTGCAATATTTTTATATTCTATCCCAACCTGAACATCCCAATAGGCTGTGCTTACTCGATAATGAGTGTAACACATATATGAAACACGTCCATCCTGTTTTCCTACTTTCCCTTTAAGAGTTCGGCCTGTCATTGAGGAACTCTCCCTCTCTGATATGCACACCCAAGCAGTACAGAATTTTGAAATTCCACCTTGGGAAAATTCACGGATCCAGCTTCTTGATGTTTTCAAACATCACGTAAAGGCGAGCACTAACGAGATCGTTTACAGACAACTTTTCGCTGAGCACAGGCACAAATATAGCAGTTATGATCCGATATACACAGATGGATCAAAGTCAAATGATCATGTCGGGATGGCTTTTGTATTTAAAGATTACATTGAGGGCAGATGCCTGCACCATGCTTTCTCAGTCCTAACATCTGAACTAACTGCAATATATTACGGTCTTTTGTACATCTCAAAGCTCTGCCACAAAAAATTCATAGTTTATACAGACTCGTATAGTGCTCTTAAATCCTTGGAAGCTTTCCCCAACACGCAGAATCCTGTGGTAGTGGATGTTCTCAAAATTCATAGAAATTTAACAATTCGAGGATATGAAGTCCTGTACTGCTAGGTCCCTGGACATGCAGGAATAAGGGAAATGAGCTTGCAGACATCGCAGCCAAATATGCTGTTTAACCGTCCACTCGCCTTATTCCTTTTAGAGACATCTGCTGTGTAATCAATGGGAGGATACGGAAAAAATGGCAGCAAATTTGGGATGTTCAGCATCACAACAAGTTGAGAAATGTCAAGCCTAGAATTGAACATTGGGATTTTGCTGGAAATCGTAAGGAGGACGTTCTTTTGACTCGCCTCAGAATAGGTCACACTAGAGTCACACATAACTACCTTTTAAAAGCTGAAAATGAGCCTGTTTGTTTTAATTGTAATGTTTTTTATCTGTCCGTCATATTTTAATTGAGTGTCCCTGTTTTAACAATCTTCGCCAGAAATATTTTAATACCAGTGACTTACCTCTCGACCGTTTAATCGGAAAAGAGGCCAATTGTAATTTATTTTATTATTTAAAAGAGACTGGTTTTTATTACTTAATGTAATCTCTTTTTGAGGATTGTGTCTTGAATTTTAATATGTCTGCTTTTAACTTGTTTTTATATGACTTCATCCTCTGGATTTGGTACATTTGTCCACTTGTTTTATTTATTGTATTTTAATTTCATAAATATGATCATCTCACCTTGTGTTTGGCGCGTCATAATCATCTTTGGTTTGTGCCAAAAACACCACTCACTCACCCCTTTCTCATGTTTTAAACCTGAGAAAGAAGTGTTTAAAAACACTAAATATTTTAAAAGTGTTGGTGAACACCTCCTGGGGTGCAGAGCGTTGCTCTATGCTTCGCGTTTACAGAGCGCTTGTTCGCTCCAGACTGGACTATGGCTCAGTTGTTTATGGATCCGCTCGGTTATCAGTTTTATTAAAACTAGATCCTGTTCACCATCAAGCTCTGCGGATTTGTTCAGGAGCTTTCAGGACTTCTCCTGTGCAGAGTCTGTATGTTGACAATAACGAACCATCACTTTATCTGAGGCGTGATCAATTGTCCATTTTGCAATATTTTCATATTCTATCCCAACTTGAACATCCCAATAAGCTGTGCTTACTTGATAATGTGTGTAAGACATTATTTGAAACACGTCCATCCTGTGTTCCTACCTTTCTTTTAAGAGTTCGCCCTGTCATTGAGGAACTCTCCCTCTCTGATATGTGCTCTCCCCCCATCAGGTGCAGAATTTTGAAAATCCCATCTTGGGAAAATGCACGGAATTCAGCTTCTTCAATGCTTTTCGAGCCATCATGCGTAAAGGCAAACACTAACGAGATCGTTTACAGACAACTCTTCGCTGAGCACAGGAACGTAAATATAGCAGTTACTCATCCAGTTATATACAGATGGATCCAAGTCAAATAGATTCATGTTGGGATGGCAATTTGTAATTGGAGACCACATGGAGGGCAGAAAGCTTTGCACTATGCTTTCTCTGTCTTAACATCTGAACTAACTGCTACTATATTATAGGTCTTTCGTACATCTCGAAGGCTCTGCTTATAAAACAGTTTAATTAATTTATACAGACTCGTACAGTGCGCTTGAAGGTCTTTAGAATCTTTTCCTAGCACTGATCAATTCCTGTGATGGATCTCAGTTGCACTCAAATTGCAATATAAACTTAATGAATCGTGGATATGAAATACTATACTGCTGGGTTCCCGGACATGCAGGAATTAAAGGGAAATGAGCTGGCAGAGTATCACAGCGAAATGTTGCTTGTTGAACTGTCCAGTTACCTCATCCCTTTTAGCGATAGACATCTGTTGTGTCATCAAAGAGAAGAATCCGAAAAAATGGCAGCAACTTTGGGATGTTTCAGCTGTATAAACAAGTTGAAGACAGTGTAAAGCCTAGAATTGAGCATTTGGGAGTTTCGTCATTTTGTAAATCGCATCCCATCCTGTGTTTGGCGCATCATAACCATCTTTGGTTCTTTGTGCCATAAATCGTCTACTCACTCACTCAGACACGCTAGAGTGACACATAACTATCCTTTGAAAGCTGAGAGTGATCCTGTTAGTTTCAAATTGTAATGTTTGGTTTATCTGTCCGTCATATTTTAATTGAGTGTATTGAGTGTACATGTTTTAATAGTCCTTCTTCAGAAGTATTTTAATAGTTGTGACTTACCTCTCGACCGTTTAATCGGAAGAGAGGCTAATTTTAATTTATATTATATTAAAAAAGACTGGCTTTTACTACCTAATTTAATTTGTTTTGAGGATTCTGTCTTGGATTTTAATGTGTGTTTTTACCTTTTTTTTATATGACTGCATCCTCTGGTTTTGGTACATTTGTCCACTTGTTTTTATTTGTTGTATTTTAATTTCATAAATTTTGATCATCTCACTTTGTGTATCTCACTTTGCGTCATAATCATCTTTGGTTTTGTGCAAAAAACCCCACTCACTTACCCTTTATAGACTTCAAAATCTAATACTAAACCACTTGGTGCTGCCAAAACGAAATTCCTTAGCCCTTCTGGATTTGGCTTCCCTGGTACATATCGTTTTACAGCACAAACACCTATTAATGGTATCATCTGCTCATCTACAGCAAGATTCTTACTACGAGGAAGTGTAAGGCAACCTTTTCTAACTCGATCCATAATTGGTCTTACTTTCCACAACTTATCTTTGTTTTTTTTTTCATCTGTAACTTGAGCATCATCAAGCACTTTCAAATGGTTTCTAATCTGAAAATACTTGTTTCTAGTTATCGCGTTAGCAATAGCAGGAACACGTGTAGTTTTCTGAAAATACATGCAAACTCTTGGATAACCTAAGCGTGACATCAGCAGGGTTGCCCCTAAATATGCTTTCATGTCATTTAAACAAATATTTAAAACATTAACTGTTTCTTTATGATACTTCATCTTCGTGTATTTGCTCATTTCCATTAAAAGCGTATCCCAAAAGAGAGAAACATATTCCTGCGTTGTCCAGTTCTGCCTATCAGCGGCTGATTCATTACTATCCCAGGTGATATTTTCAAGAGCATTGAATCTGGAATACGCAAAATAAAATATATAACGTAGTAGAATATTTAATTACTCTACAAATGCTAAATTAATTACAACTATAAATATGACATTTACCTTTAAATTTTCTTCCAAAATTGGCGCCTACTTGTTTGAATTTTTGCCTGTGCTTCTTGCTCAGAAGTTTCTTTTGTATCTATTAGAAGGCTCATCATTCTCACTTGAACTGCTCTCATCTAATATTTCATTAGGTATTTAAATATCATGCTCTTGGAGGCTTTCTTTTTCCTCATCATCATCACTAATGTCAATGTCCGACACATCACCATTCCTTATGGCATCCAAAATTTTTTCTGTATCTTTTTCAGCATCTAAATACCGTCGATTTCCAAAAATCTGTAATAGATATAAAACAAAAACAAAAGTGTACAACTATGTTCAAAACCACAAATTATTTTTAAATTATTAATAGAGAATTTGTATTTAAAATTTAAGTTTTTATTTCTAATCAAATATTAAATAAAAAGTTATAAAAGAGTAAAATAATAAATTTTGTTTAAATACACACTTTAACAATTCTAACTGCTATTAAAAGATTATTATTAAAAATACAAAATTAATTAATTCAGAAATTTATTGTAACAAAAGAATATGTAAGCTGATTATAGAATGTGCCTGAATTACTGACATTGTAACTGTATGTTCTGCATTTAATTTGGATAATTTAGGCCCATTATCAATACATTTTATAAAAGCATACACTTTTAAAATATTTTTTTAATGTTTAATTAGAACAGGAAAACCTACTAACTAATTTAACCATCAAATTTTAATTTTTGAGCATATTATTACGTTATATTAAAATAAAAAAATATTTTACTTCCGTATACCAAAAATTAGTGAGTAGGAATATAATCAACTGACTATGACCCACTGTCCAACAGAATGGACGTGGATGAAAATATAGCTGTTGTCTCAATATTATTCATGCAAACACTGAAGAAACAACTTAAGTTTATCATTTTAACATTTAAAATCAAATACCAGTTGTTTTAGTATCAAAATGAGTTAGCAAAATATGAGAAAAATGGTCTAAAATAATGCACTTACCTTCGACTGTCCTTCTTCTATCGGCAGCCATTTTCAAACGCTAATTTAAGAAATATTCCTCCGCTTTATAGATGTTTGACTGTATAGAAGCACCAGACGGTCCACTATCATGGACTGTGTGGGACTTTGGGACTTGAAACAGTAATTATTTTTATGACATGCAAAATACAAATGTCCATTAGAATTGACGCTGGGTCTCAGGGGTATAAATAAACATTGGTAATGACAATCACAGATAACCATATTCTCTGAAGGTTGCTATATATCCCATCAGTGGCTAAATAAATAAAAACACTGAACATTAATTGTTCAATACCTGATGAAAGGGTTTAGAACATAGGCATTTTGTGCATATTTCTCCAAGATATGAATGTAAATTAGTTTACCTCAAAAAATCTTCCTGATAACATTATTTAGGTTAGTAGGGTTACCTTTAGGCAGATAAAATAATCATGTTGAATGTAATCACCTTCACAGAAGGCTGAAATTATTTCTAATTATGGAGTTTATGTTATTTTTGTTAATAACATGCGAGTAATTGTGCTAAAAGTGTTAATTGTTAGAAATAGTAAGATTATACTTCAAGTAATTTTTCAAGACAACAAAATTATTTTCTCTTACTTTGGCTAATCATTTTAGCAGAATATAAAATATTTTGTATTTGTTTTTATATTAATTAGATTATTAAATATACTTCTGATGTCCAATTTACTAATAAGTATAATATTATTGAATTTACATGTAGGGAGAACAATATGATCATCTTCTACATTTACTGTAAGATAAACTACAGAAGCAAGAAACACGTTTTAGGAAATCAATTTCAGCGTCTGAGAGACTTGCCATCTGTTTAAGGTAAATATAAATATATACATTTGTTTTGAAAGTAGTGTCGACGCTAGATAATTTACCGTCTGGTGCAAACTCCACAAATCCGGAATTCTGCCACCCGATTCCTTCCTAAATTCTAATAATTTTGCCATTAGGTGTGGTCACATTGGTTGCATATGCTCTGGCACCAAGCTCTATTTGAAAGTCTTTATTACATCTAATTCCAGTTTTGTGTAATATGTATAATTGAAAATTAATGTTATTGTCAGAACATTTTATACCTCTGTGTAATTGAACTTTTTAAAATTCATATTTTTTTAAATTTGTAGTGCATTTAAAAAAATTCTGAATAGGAATATTATTTTTATCAAAATAAGTTACATAAATAAAGCATTTTTTTCTGTGGTTTAATAATAAGAAAGAAAGAAAGAAAAATGCCATCTTTTTGAAACTGACCCCTCCCCCCGAAAAAAAAAAAAAAACTTTTTTAAAACTTGCATACTGCTACAGATTGCCCTTTGTTCATTTTTATACGACATGTTTCTAAAACTGCAAAAATTTAATTATTGATTCAGAATGTTTTTGTAGATTTCTAGCATCTGGAACTAATTATACAGACCTGGCATGCACTTTCCATGTTTCCAAATCTTCAGTTTCACATATTATTCGAGAGACCTATGATGTCATATGGCAAGTCTTACAGCCACTTGTTATGGCTATACCAGCATCATCAGATGAATGGGCTGTAATAGCAGAAGGTTTTGAATATAAATGGAATTTTCCCAACTGTGTTGGTGCAATTGATAGTATGTATTATGTATTGCATTCCATATTTATCTGTCAGTGAGTACTTTTGAAATACAAAAATTGCATTATATTAAAATTAGGCAAATGAAATTCTTTTCAAAGATAAATATAAAATATTGCAGAATCATCTAACTTGATATATTAGCTATCTTAAAATATCAAAAGACTGGAATTGTTTCATAATAAATAAATGAAAGTGTGAAATGAAAAACTAATTTTAATATAAAAAGGAATTTTGTGCAAGTTTCTAATTTAAGAACTGAATTTATTATTGAAAAAAGTTTTTATATTAATGTTTATCATTAAAGCGTATATTATTTTTCTCTAGGCAATTGATAATTGTTGCTTTTCTTTTCTTGTAGAATACAAGCTCCATCATATCAGAATACAAGCTATTCATATCAGAATACAAGCTCCACCGTCAGCTGAATCAACATATTATAAGGACTATAGCAGCATAGTCCTAATGGCAGTGGCAGATGCTAGTTACACTTTCCTATATGTTGGGGATTCAGGCAACTATGGACGCATCAGTGATGGTGGAATTTTCAGTAATTGTTCACTAGGTAAAGCTTTGGTTAGTGAAACTGTTTTCATTGCCAAATCCAACACCATTATTAAATAGTGATTGAGTTCTGCCTTTTGTATTGGTTGGAGATGAGGCTTTTCCACTCAGGAAAAATATTTCATGCCCCTTAACCTGGCAAATTTCTGTCGAATGTCCCTCAGGGGGCTCACTTTTGTGAGTACGGGTGTGGCAATCCCGAGGTACCCTAGCCCTTCAGGGGATCATCTTCTTGGTGAGACGGGTGTCACGATCCTGGAGCCCCAGTGATCTATCCTCTTTTCCGTCTCCTCTCTCCTCTTCTTTGCTGGAACTTTTTCCCTTCCCTTCTCCCTTGTGGTTTCTCTCTACGGAGTTTGGGGCTCGTCACGAGAAACTGGAACAACCCTTGCGTCCAATTTTCAAATGGCGAGAAAACTGCCCACGTGTTTGCCGTGCGTGGAGACCCGTGTCGCTGGAAAGGAGGGTCCTGGTAGTTGAGGGGCGAGGTACTGTCCCCAACACACTGCTTTGGCCTCTGCTTCAGCTAAACGGGAGGCACCTTAGTTGTCCTCACGGGTGTCAATCGGCTGGTCACTAGTCCTTGTGTCAGTGGCTTGGGGTCAAGCTCTCGGGAGTTCCTGCTTTCGGGAAAGCCGACTGTGGGGCTTCAGTTTGCGTATAGGTCCGGCTAGCCCTAACACAGGAATCTGTGTTCCCTTGTTGGGCTCCGTGGTGGGCGGGGCCGTCGGACCCGAATCTTTTCTTATTTCAATATGGCTAATTCCCAAATTTTTCTGATCAAAGACTTCGAAGTCACTCCAGTCTCTCAACCTAGTTCTGAAACGTCTATTACTAAAACCAGTCACTCAACCTAGCTCTGAACCACCTACTAATAAACCAATCATTGAACCTAGTTCTGAAAAGTCTACTACTAAACCAGTCACTCAACCTAGTTCTGAAAATTCTGCAAAAAAATTACGGACAGATGCAAATAAAAAAATCATCACAATAGTCCCCGTTTCCTAGTCATCTCTAGTCCTTCTGGCGAAATGCATAAGATGTCTCCTTTCGTAATAAATAAATACATCCAGTCTTGTATTGGTGAGCCGAGAAACATAAAGCGTCTCCGCTCCGGAGACTTGCTTATTGATACAAACTCAGCCACCCAGTCTGCTTCTTTACTTCAGATTACTAAACTTGGGCAAGCGAATGTCACTGTAACAGCACATAAGACACTGAATTATTGTCGTGGCGTAATATCGGAATTCGACCTTCTGTACGTTCCTGAAGAAGAGATCGCTTCCGAGCTATCCGACCAAAATGTCTGCGGTGCTAGGCGGATCAAGATGCGTAAGGAAGGTAAGTTGATCGATACGAAACACGTGATCCTTACCTTCAACACGCCTGATCTGCCTAAGAATATTAAGGCCGGATATTTAAATTGTCCTGTAAGACCTTATATTCCCAACCCTATGCGATGCTTCCAATGCCAGCGTTTCGGCCATTCTAAGACGTCTTGTCGTGGCAGCCTCACATGCGCCCGATGCTCACAGATTGGCCACGATTCGGAAAATTGTACCGCTGCGCCTTCGTGTATAAATTGCAAGGGTCAGCACCCAGCATTTTCACGCCTCTGCCCAAAATGGAAATCCGAAAAAGAAGTACAGACTCTTAAAGTTACCAGGAACATCTCGTATGCTGAAGCCAGAAAACTAGTTCAAAGCACACAGCTCCAATCAAACAAATCTTATGCCAGTGCAGTTAAAACAACACGTAGCATTGCCACCCAAACATCAATAGGCACGCAGACTAAACCAAATAAAACCCAACCAACCACATCCACCAAGAAAACGGAAAATGCAACTCATTTAATACAAAAAAAGAAACAGTCATTCAAAGTAAACCTAAAATTGAAAGTCACAAAATAATTAATAAAAATAGAAGTCCCAGCAATAGCTCTTTTGACGAAATGATTTCTGAATCTGCGGATTCAGACACTATGGAAGTAGAGGAGGGTCTAGAATTTCCCAGGCATCTACTTCCACGAAAAACCAAACAAGAGCACAGAAAGAACAAAAACCAGACATAATGGCCACCCTCGTCTCATGGAACTGTCGCGGTTTCCACCGAAATTTGCTCGACATCAAAGCCATAATTAATGCTTATCATCCTGTATGCTTCGCAATACAGGAAACAAATCTAAAACCAGAACAACAGGCAAAACTTCGGAGGTTTTCCTTCGTCAGGAAAGATAACCTTGCAGGTGAGCGTGCCAGTGGAGGTGTAGGTCTCCTCACCTCACTGGATTATCCCTCATGTGCTTTCTTTGACGACATCCCTCCAAGTTGTCGCTACTCAAACAAATTTTGATTTTGTTGTTACAGTCGTTTCTCTGTATTTGCCTCCAAATGAGCATATTGATCAGCAAGATTTAAATGGTCTTTTAGAGCAGCTGCCTGAGCCTTTCATCATAATAGGAGATTTTAACGGCCATAGTCCGCTCTGGGGTAGTAAGGATACTAAATTGCCGAGGAAGACAAATTGAGCAGATGATCGAAGATCATAGCCTTTGTCTCCTCAATAATGGGCAAGATACTTACTTCCATGAGCCTTCAAAACATTCCATGCTCTCGACCTTGCCATCTGTTCACCATCTCTGTTGCCTTTTTGCACTTTTAATGTGGGAAATGATCTTTACAACAGTGATCATTATCCCATTCTTGTGTCTCTTGCACGAAGAGGAGCAAACCCCATGTCGAGATCCCCTCGATTCATACTGGACAGGGCAGACTGGGAACTCTTCTCTTCCATTGCAGAGCTCACAGATGAAATGGTAGAAGATGCGCATATCGATGACGCTGTTGAAGCTGTTACTAATACTATTATTCAGGCAGCTATGCTTTCGATTCCTAGAACATCAGGAAAACTACTAAAATATTCAAAACCATGGTGGAATCGCGACTGTCATGAAGCACTGAAAAAACAGAAAAAAGCATGGGGTATTTTTCGTAGATATCCTACTCTGCGAAACCTCATAGCCTTTAAAAGAGCCAAAGCAAATGCACGAAAAGTAAGAAGGCAGAGCCAGAGGGATTCCTGGATTTCATATGTGTCGTCAATAACATCCTCTACGCCTAGTAAGCGGGTTTGGGAAAGAGTTCGAAAAGCATGCGGAATATATAAAGACCACTCACTTTCCTTTTTGGAAAAAGATGGCCGAGTGAT